CTGCCGCCCGCGGCCTCCTGGCTGCTTCCGAGACCCAGCCGCGGTGATCCCTGAGGACAGCGCGGCTGGGCGACTCCGCGGCCCCTCTCCGCGACTGTCCAGCCTCTGTGGCAAGCGCGGCAACCAGACCTGCTTCGCCTCTGCAGGGCGCGGCCGGCTTTTCCAATTGTGGTTGTTTTGCTTTTTTATTCAAATAGAGCCGCAGATGCGAAAAGAAAGTGATGTCACAATAGGAAAGAAAAGCCAAGGGACTTTGTAGGTTACACCTGGTTGGAACGACCGTGTTCCCGCCCCCAGTCTCATTTCCCAGCTCGATCTGTCACAGACAAGATGAAAACGGCGTTTGAAGGTGACTGGTGACGCACGACAGTGACTTGGTCTCAGGTGTAGACACAACTTTAGAGCACGCGCAGGGACTGGCCAAATTATCCCCAAAGCTGGAGCAAGTTCCGTCCACCCCCCAACCCCGCCTCCTGGCAAACTTGTATTATTTATAATGTTGTGGTTTATTCTCAGGATTTAAAAAGGCTACTGTTACCCTTAAAGTAATGGCTTTATCACCATGTGTGGATAGCTTTAGAAAAGACAGGTTAAGTTTGAGCAAAAAGTGTCACTATTTGGGCAAGTCATCATCGTGTCACCTTAAAAAACTGAGAAGACTGGGAGCGGTTTTAGACTTCATGGCGGCTACCTTCCTGGCACAGTAATTTGGAAATCTGTTTCGCTTTAAAGCGGGAAAGCCTGGTACGTGAACATCCCCCACCCCGTGCGCGCCCACCGCTGGCCGCCCTCGCCGGCGACCCTGGCTGGAGACCCCGTGGAGACGTGGGGTCCGCAAGCCGCGTCCCAGCGGTTCTCGGCGGAAGCACAGACCTGGGTTCTGGCCCCCATTCCAGCGCGAGAGGGACAAGCTGGCCTGCCTGCTCCAAAGGGCGTCGCCTTCAGTTCACACGAGGGTTTTGAAAACTTCGAAGCACCTTACAGACGTGACTGTCCCTCTCTGGTTTCCTTCTCTCTCTGACTCTGTGGTAGAAATTCCGCATTTTCATGTGCTCACCGGCCCTCAGCAGGTTGCACGATCCTACGTTTCTTCCAAGGAGATTAATATGTAGCTGTAGCTTCTGGGATGATAAAAATACTCTTTGAAAGTCCGACCCTTCGTAACCGACAGATGCTCTTAGAAAATAACAATGCAAATATTAACGATGATGACACCAATAAATGTTACAAATAGGGACAGGCACATTACAGTTACAGCTTAGCATTAACCGTGGGCGAAGGAGGGAAGACGTTTTTAGAAAGGTATTTCATTTCATTCAAAATACAGACCTGAGCATTTAACTAGGACGAACAAGAGGGAAAAACGCTGAAAATGGAATAAATGGCTTCACTTTACCCAGGTTATTTCTAAACAGTGATACAAAGATGTAATAGAAATAATTTAGACATATGGATAAGAACCTTCAAAATCAATAGTGCTAAGAGAAATGAAACATATGCTGATGCAATCAAACAGAATTGAATTTCATACAAATGTTAGCAAATGTATATCAGATTATCACAGCAAAAACTTCATTTTCATTGATTTATAATGTATTATTATTGTTCCCACCAAACTGCCATAGACAGCCATCTAGCAGCTGCCGAGTGCCTTAAGGGTGAACAAGGGCTGTCACTGCCTCAGTGGGCGCTAGACGCTTAGGAGCCAATAACTCAGGGGCGGCAGGTGCGACTTCTAACGATTCTTCACTTGTTCCTTTTAATCGCATTAGATCATTCTTTGAGACTTTCGGTGAGCGTCGGGCTGTTAGTTTGGTATTCACACACGAATGAAGGAAAAAGGGAAAAAAAAATTTTGTAACATATAAACATTCAGCAAAAAATGAGGTTCAAAGGGGCCATCAAACACATGCACACATTTCTCGCCTCCCCATCTCCCCTCCCCCATCTCTCTGTCTCTGTCTCTGTCTCTATCTCCGTCTCTCCGTCTCTCTGTCTCTCTGTCTCTCTCTGTCTCTCTGTCTCTCTGTCTCTCTCTGTCTCTCTGTCTCTCTCCCTGGCTCTCTCCACCTCTGTCTCTGTCTTTATCTCTGTCATCTCTGCACAACATGAAAAAACTATTCAAACCGCTGTCCTTTCAGGAGACAGATTCCCTCGTGGGCCTCTCTGTGCCGAGATCCGGGGCCTGTACGTTACCCAGTCCCCTTCCAAGCCGTTGCTCACTGCTGCGTGCTATGGGGTCGAAAGGGCTTCGTATCCCAGTCCCTGAGTTCTCACACGTCCTTAATGACAGGGGACCGTTTCCTAGCAGTCTGAGCAGTAAGATTCTGCTTTTTTGAGAAGGGATTATGTGAACAATTACTTTAGCAAAATCCATGAGCTTTTTCCAAAAACAGAAATTGAATTAGTAACAACAATGAGTTAGGTTATTACGTTAGGTCTTTAGCTTCTGTGTGTAAGAAATAAAGTTATTATGCCTCATGTCTTAAAATGCAATCTTATTCACAATATTTGAGGTGGTCTGTCTCAAGTTCCACGATTATCACCTCAAACGAAATTCTAAGTCATATCTTTCCTTTCTTCCAAAGACTCAAAGAACGGTAGAGGCTTGTTTTGCTAAAGCACTGTTAAGTATTCATAATAATTTGCTCACAATGTCTCATGCACCGTGGCGAATGGTCACGCAGACAGGCTGGGATAACAGGTCCGTTGCGGCGTTTACAGGCGCTGGGCCTGCGGCCCCTGTCCCATCCGCATGTCCAGCGCTGGGGCAGACATTGCAGGAGGAGGTGGAGCCTGGATGGCCGGGTCCTTCCTGCAGCCAGCTCTGGGATTTCGCTCCTCTGGTGCCGCCTCCCTGCCGTCCACAGCGGTTACAGTTCACTGGGCAGATCTCAACATTGGTTCTAATTGGTCCCCCAGGGCCCGGTCCAGGCTGTCGCTGAGTGGATATGAGGGTGTGAGCAAGAGAAGGTGGCGGTTTGGCATAAACTGTGCAGTGGGAACATCCTGCAGCAGATGCTCCAGCTGACCAGCAGGCCCCCGCTTCTCAGTGGAGAAAACGCAAGTTCATCCAGGGACGCTTGCGACTTGCTGTTCCTCCCCGTCTCCCAGGGCTCTTGATGGACCTGAGCGCAGGACCGGGTGAAGCGCTGCGCCGCTACCCTCCCGCCCCATCCCTCAGCCACGTTCCACGGCCGCCCGGGGAGGGCGTTGGGGATGAAACCTATTTCCACTCAGGCTCAGCCCGCTGCTCGCTGCTCGCTGGGAACCAGAGATTAGGGGGAGTGGAGAGCGCGCAGGTCGCGCGGCCACGCCCACGCGGCCCCGCCCACACGGCCACGCCCACACGGCCCCAGGGCCCAACCTGCAGCCCACAGAACCCAGGTGCTCCGCACAGCCCAGCATTTCCTGCGGCTCTACCACGCGTCAGCTCTGGCGCAGGTCCCGCTGACGAACAGTTGTGGTGTCGGTCACTTACTGGGCACTCAGTCACCTTAGAGAGAAGCCTGCTCAGTGCCGGGCTCCCTCCACCGCCTCCTCCACGGAGTCCGCAGGCACCGAGGCAGTGGCGCAGCGGACACTGCCCCTCCCGGTGAGCCTTGCTGACCTGTCTACCACCACTCTGTGGTCGCTCACGTCCTTGGGCTGGCTGCCGCTAGAGGCCGTCACCACACATAGGCATGACCTGGGCCAGAAGGGGGCTGCAGCAGCGCCCCAGATGTCTGCCCTCCCCTGACCCCTCAGACATCACAGGCGGGGGGCGTGGGTCCCTGTGTTCCAGATGGGACAAAGTGGTCGCCACTACTTAGCCCCTCAGCCCTGCCCAGCCCTGCCTCTGGGAGACCCACTGGCATCTAATGCCGTGGGTCCGCTCATGTTGCTGACCCTGAAAGAATCTTGTCTTTTCTGGTCAAGAATTAGCTTATTTATTTGGTATCTATTTTTACCGGGGGGGGGGGGTGATTACATATAGTAAAGGCGCAGATCAATCCGATGCATTTTCACAAATGTATTCACACTACTCAGAACAAGAACGAAAGCTTCCAGTCACCCAGGACGTCCCCACGGCGGTCACCTCTGTGCCACTCCCGTTTGCGGCTCCTACCCTCAGTGGCTTCGCAAGGACGGCGGGCCAGACGCTGCACGCACGCGTCTGAAGTCACCTCGCGGTGGCACACACTAGCGCTTGTCCCGCACGCGTCTGAAGTCACCTCGCGGTGGCACACACTAGCGCTTGTCCATTTCTACCGCTCGGTTGTTTCTCCTCTTCCTCCGTGCCTGCTGTGGCCTCTGCTTCTGGGGAGTGAGGGTGGCGGTGGTTCGAAGAGCAGACAGGTTACGGGATAAACACAGGGGTTTAGAAATCGAAATAATTCAGAGCCCCACACTGGCCAGTATTAACTAAAGTAACAGTCGCCATTACATCAGTAAATCTTAGCGTGACCATTATGTCCTTCCTCTCCAATGTGAACCTGGCTGCGGCGGGGTGGTGGGGGCGGGTGCACCGTGAGCCAATGTGAGGTGGGACCCCCTCCCGTGAGTAGAAGGATCCCCAGGGGCTGACAAGGGCACTGCAGGCACAGGGGGACAAGCCCCAGGGGTGGCAGAGCCACATGACGCAGGCCGGTTGGGAGCGGGCTCCCAGGTGCCCGCGGGCCGCAGCACTCACCTGTGATGCACAGGAGGGGGCACACCTGCCGCTCCTGTAGCTGCTCAGCGGGCGCTCTGCACTGCGGACAGCTCGCCCTCATCTCAACTACACCCCGCCTTGGGGAATGGTGTCCCTGTGCACTCAGCACTGGAATCAGAATGTGGGGTGCCACCCACACCACCTGACCTGCCCTGCCACCCCACACTCCACGCAGTTTGCCCAGGCGACTCAGAGAACTGACTCGAGGACTCAGGCCGAGGTGCTGAACTGGCCCCTGGGTCGGGTGCAGCTGCAGGTTATGAGCCCCAGGACTAGGCCCATGTGCAGGTGCGATGGTGACGGCCGTGGCTTCTACCGCTGTCCAGGGCTGGCTGCCCGACATCCCCGGGCCTCGGACCTCACTGCGGACTGTGGCTATCACACAGCCGTCTGTCCCACGTGGCGGCTGGTGGTGAGGGCCAGAGGTGCTCATTGGTGCAGGAGAAAGTCGTGTCGCGGACAATGAGGCCTCACAAAGAGGCTACTTACATCTGTTCCTGGGGTCCTGTGACGGTCCCCACAGGGGAGCACTGGTCCCTCAAGGGCTGTCCTGGTCACTGCGGGTCAGACTTGCCCAGCTCCGCAGAACCAGGCCGGTGCGCCCCTGAGTCTCAGGGCCGCTCACGGGGACGGGCTTCCCAGCCAGCCTCGCCCCCTCCTCCCTCCTGGAGCCCTGCCCTGTATCCCGTCTGACCTGGCGGCTGCTCTGTAGGTCCGTGGCGCTGCAGCCCACTGGGCCTGCTTGCCCTGGAGCCTGTGCTCCTGCTGACCCTCCAGCCACAGCCCGCAGTCTGCCCGCCCCTCGCCTTCTGGCCGCGGTTGATGCTCCGTCTGTGCGGTGACCCTGTCCCCAC